GGATCGTGACATTTTCGGGCGAAAATTATTTCAACATTTTTCAAAATGCTTGCAATAGGAAAGGTAGGGCTCACGCTTTCTTGGCTTAAATGCGTTATTTCTGAATAGAGCATGATTTTTTCTAAAAAAATGGTTTTTCTGGAAAAAAAGAAAGTGAGAAAGCGTGGTTGACATGAAAAAAAAAAGAATAACAAAGCTTACTCTGGCTGCATGCTCCGGAAACGCGAATATCAACTTCAGCTCGGTCCTGTTGCGACTCGGCATTGCTGCGCTGCAGAAGTATGGCTACGGCGAAAGCGGTAAACGTTCGAAGAATCTTATGAATCTGAAGTTGGTACATGATCCGTTGCAATGCCGGACGCGTAGGATTTTAGAGCAGTGAGGGGGTGGCGCTTTTTAGAAATTCATCAGAAGTGCATTTGTGAGTGGCGATGACGACAGGAATGATCAGGAATTGCGGCGGTGACGACGATAACAACGGTGGTTAGTGACAACCAGCAACAACCGCGCAGATGATGAATAACACAGATCACAGCACCAACCATTAGGAATAACGACGATAACGATGGCAACCACGATGAGAGCCGTGATAACAACGACAAAGACAGCTGCGGTAATAACGAATTTTGACGGTGACCATAACACGGACCCAGCGACAATCATTGTAGGATTGTGGCAGCAAAACGATTTTTGTTGAAAACGACGACAATTTCACTGCGAATTGCATCAGACAGTGTCAAAATCAAACAGTCTGAACGAATTTTTAGATTTTATTTTGTACACATTTCTGCAGCTGCAAACAAATACAGTACTGTAGCGGTTTACATTTTTTCGGAACAGAAAAGACCATTTGCAAAATTTTGCTATAAAAAATCACTTTTTCAAACAAATGGTTGAAAGAGCGAGTCGGAGAATATTTTATTTATTAACATTTCAATAACTGAGTTGTCACCATTATGCCTTTACTTGGATACCCTTGGTCAGCTGTTGCAGCACAATATTTTAATTTCTTTTTTTTTCATTTGAACAAAACACAAAAAATCTAAAATTTAGAAGCACTATGTGGAGTGTAAACAAGCAACCTTCTATCTATTGTGATGCATAAATAATTATTTGCACTTTTCTTTCAATTTTTGATAAATATCGGAGAATTAAAAAAAGAACAAGAATCAAATCAGTGATGCAGCTACCACTGTTTTTTTACGATACAACACAACACATTTATTCGTCATCAAACAAATATGCATACCGCGCATTTAATTAGAGAGAGAAAACAAGAGCAGGATTTATGATCCTATTTTCAATAGTTCTGAGAAAAACGCCACAGCGAGATACAAAAATTAGCGGACTAGCCTGTAATTTCTTTGAACGAAAGGCCTGTAACCACTTCTATATACTGCAAAAACACTCCTAGATATTTCAAGAAAGAAATTTTTTTAATGCGTTTTTTTGCAGCTGTGCAGTGCAGAAAAAGCATATTGACGAGGGGTTGTCTGTGTGTGTGTGTCTGTGTGCCCGTGTGTGCGTCTGTCACGGTTTT